GCTTGCACAGGGGCTGATACTGCATGGAACTCGGTCCCAGGACATGAAGTATGCTGTGAGGCATATGCAGGTCAGGTGAGGATGGGCTTGGGAAGGTAGACTTCGGTGAAGTGTCACCTAGGATGGTGCAATGAACTGAAATGCACAAAGGTCTTTCAGATAAAGTCTTTAAGGCTCAGTCAACATAGTAGTCAGATACAAGGTTTTAGAATACTTTGTTATCACTTAGTCAGCTGGGGCCAGCAAACACTGTTTGATGATAAAAGACAAGAGCTTGATTTAAAGGGGGTCATATAGCTTAATTATAAAGTGCAAACCTAAAAGTATCAAGGTCACCTAAAAACATGTGAATCTCTTCACAGGTAAAGATGAATCTCTTGGCTAGGTAGCCAAAGTAATACTAAATGTCCTCTATACAAAAATTTACGTTCTAACTCTAGGTAAACATTTGAAAATATAGCTGAAATCGAAAACTGTTTTTCAAAAGCAGTATCCAGCCAGGCCTGATGGTATACACCTATAATCTCAGTACTCAGGAGGCTGAGGCAAGAGGTTATGAATTCTAGGAGAGCCTGAGTACATAGACACTGTTTCAAAAACAAAACAAAAACCATTTCACTCCAAACCAGAAACAGCAGCAACACAGAAAATTAAGCAAATTAACCCATAAGCAGTATCAGAAAACTGAAAAAATAAAGTGGAATAGGCCAAGAGCAAGAGTCAGAAACTGAAATACCAACACATACCATTTCTAGATTAAATAAGATATTTGAGGCAGAGGGTATCTTCATACTCATTAATCAGAGGACAAAACATAAGGAAAACTGTGTGTAAAAACATGGATACCCGATATTAAATCATTAAAAGAAAAATAAACAAGAAGGACCCTTGGTGACAGGCACCAAGTCTCATCACCACTGTTCACCAAACACTGAAAAAAACACTAGGATATTAGTTTTTACCTGCCTTGTTAAAAAAAGAAAGACTGAGTGAATTAATAAACAATGGGGGCACTTCCTATATATACTTATTTAAATGATTTTTTTAGATAAAAAGATAAAGCACTTATATTTTACAGAAGCAGGGAGGTGGACTAAACTACCTCCCCATGAAATGGAAATTGACTGTGTGATGGGTTTTAATTTATGAGCCTCCCAGACCATGTGGCCTGATTGTCCATTTGACTAACTGCTTACAGCTGTTTTATGAGGGAACTAAATGCTAGCAGACTGAACACATCAATGAAAGACAGTCCTTTGAAATTAAAATTAGAATTTTAAAGAGTACTTTTATTATGGCAAATATATTCTTTCCTTTTTTTGTGGTATCAGGCCAGTTGAGCTAAACCTTCAACTCTTTCGTTTTTATTTTATTTTGTTTCTATTTTACTTATTGTGCTGGTACTGGTGCTTGAACTCAGGGCCTGGGTGCTGTTCCTTAGCTTTCATCCTCAAGGGTGGTGCTCTACCACTTGAGTTACAGCTCCACTTCTGGCTATTTGGTGGCTAATTGGAGATTAGTCTCACAAACTGTCCTGTCTAGGCTGGCTTTCAATCACCATCCTCAGATCTCAGCCTCCTGAGTAGCTAGGATTACAGGTGTGAGCCACCAGTGCTTGGCTTCATTTTATTTTCCAGACAAGGTCACATCTCCCTAACTTTGGGGCTGGCTTCAAACTGAGAATCGTCCTGCCTCAACATCCAAAATAGCTGTGATTATAGATGTGTGCCACAATACTTAGCAGAAAATGTACTTTCTGGTGGCACTGGGGTTCAAACTTAGGAGCGCACAATGGCTCAGCTTAGCTTGTTTGTTTGGTGCTCTACCATTTGAGCCATACCTGCACCACTCTGGAGATGGATTCTCAAAGACTTTTCTACTTGGCATGGCTTTAAATGTAATCTTCTAGATCTTGGCTTCCCAAGTAGCAAGAAGTACAAGTGTAAGCCACTAGCACTTGGCTAAATGTACTTTTTAATACAGGACACATCTTTGAAACTTTAGTGGAAGTTACTGATTCCCATGTATAACTATTTAGGATTGTATATAATACACTAAGATTTTGCTGTAATTTTAGTTTTGAGGAAAACAAGACACTTAAGGACATCAGAGTTTCTGCCATGAATTCTATTCAGTAGATAAAAAGAACTTTCCAATGCTTGTGTTTGCAAATACTTCCCAGTCTGAATGGCTACAGTCTGTCAGGTAAACAAATGACAAGGTATTTAAGAACTTGGCAGGAGCCACATGCCAGTGGCTCATGCCTATATAATCCTAGTTAGGTGATCAAGAGGATCATGGTTTGGAGCCAGCCTGGGCAGAAAAGTCCTCAAAACTCCTTTTCGGGGGCTGGCAAGGTAGCTCAGTGGTAGAGTGCTTGCCTAGCATGCATGAGGCCTGGGTTCAATTCCTCAGCACCACATAAACAGAAAAAGCCAGAAGTGGCACTATGGCTCAAGAGGTAGAACTCTGGCCTTGAGTTGAAGAGCTGAGGGATAGTGCCCAGGCCCAGAGTTCAAGCCCTACGACTGACCAAAAAAAACAAAAACAAAACAAAACCTCCTTTTCCACTTAAACAGCAAAAAGCCTAACTGGTGGCTTGGCTCAAGGGATAGAGTGCATACTGCTGAAAAGAAAAAGAAAGAAAAAAGAGAAAAAACAAAACTTGGCGGAAGACCCTACAAATGGGGTTCCGAGGTTTTGTTTATTAAAGTATAAAGTAATAGCTAAAAATTTAAAGAAGTTTGAGGTTTAGGTTAGCACTCCAGGGACTAACTCATTCTGAGTAGGCCTTGAAAACAAGCATGGAGGGCTGGGAAGGTAGCTCAGTGGTAGAGCGCTTGCCTTGCATGCATGAGGCTCTGGGTTTAATTCCTCAGCACCATATAAACAGAAAAAGCTCGAAGTGGTGCTGTGGTTCAAGTGGTAGGGCGCTAGCCTTGAGCTGAAGAGCTGAGGGACAGTGCGCAGGCCCAGAGTTCAATCCTACAACCAACAACAAAAAAAAGAAAACAAACATGGATGGTACCCAAGGTTACGGGGTACATGTGAGCAAGGCAGAACAACCCAACTGAAGGGGAGATGGACCGTGATGATTAGGGGAGCTGCACCCCTACTTCCTTTCAATTTGCAGAAACCTCTTATATAAATCATAGCTGAGCACCTTATCATCCCATGAAATGTTTCTGAAGGTAAATCCTCCTAACAGGGTCAATGCAGGAACACATGTAAAACAAAACAACCCAAATACCAGGACCAAGTGAGGGGGAAAAAATCTCAGCTCAAGCCTAAAACACAAGACAATCAATTATTTTGAGCAAGTCAAAAGTTCATCTAAAACACAAGGGTGACATTTAGGCAAGTTGCCAGTATCCACTAACTTCATTATTCAGAGGTTGCTCTAGGATGCAGAAGCTGAAAAGTTCCCACGTTGCTACTCTTGTCACCTTCAGCCTGGCTGACTACATATATCTCCTCTTATCCTTTAGTCTCATCATCCCTTTCTATCCTGTCCCGAGTACTGTTTTAAACTTAAGCTTTCAATGAATCATGGCATTAAGTTCACTCCCCTTGGACCCTCTCACTGATCACTGTGGGTCTCCAGCATTTATAGACAGGACTTGAGACATCAACAGGAGGAACACATGACTTGGTATCACTTCTGTGTAACCAGGGAAGGATTTCTGCTCAGTGCCAATAAAATTGTCCAGGTGAGGGCACTGAAATGTCAGCCATGCCTTTCTCTGCTTTATACTTTTCAACAAATATAGAAATATTTAAGCTGGGCGCCAGTGGCTCATGCCTGTAATCCTAGCTACTCAGGAGGCTGAGATCTGAGGATCACAGTTCAAAGCCAGCCTGGGCAGAAAAGTCCATGAGATTCTGATCTCCAATAAACCACTAGAAAACTGGAAGTGGCGCTGTGGCTCAAGTGGTAGAGTGCTCACCTTGAGCTGAAGAGTGCAGGGACAGCGCCCAGACCCAGAGTTCAAGCCCCATGACCGACCAAAAAAAAATTAAATTATTCTGAATTTATCCATGACACTAGTATACTAAACCTAAAGCTAATACACAATTTTATTCCAAGTAAGTACTTAGAATGGTTTGGTTACATTGGTGTGTGTGTGGGAGGGGGGGTGGTTACTTTTATATGTCAACTTGATTGAGTTAAGGGATGTCTAGAAAACTAGGTAAACTTTATTTCCAGGTATGTTTTGAGAGTGTTCAGAAGAGATCAGCTTTGGAATCAGTAGACTAAAGAAGAACTGCTTTCACCGAAGTGGGCAAACATCCAGCCCATTGAGGATCCGAATAGATTAAAAAAAGCAAGTATGCTCTCTTCTGGTGAGGGAACATTTATCTCTTCCTGCACTTGGACAGAGGAAATGTCCTGGTTTTTGAACTCCAGCTTTTGTCAACAGCTGAATGTCCATGCCCCTGACCCACTCTGTGCAGTGGGGGTGTCACACAGACGCATGTTGGACTGTACCACTGGATCTCCTGGGTCTCCAGCTAGCCCATTCCAGGACTTCTCTGCCTCTATAATCCCATAGAAGGTCCTTTAATATAATTCTATGTATCTTCTATTGATTCTGTTTCTCTGAAAACACCCCAAGTTTACCTGTTGTACTTATTAAAGTAGGACGCTTGATGTTTGTTAAATTTTTGGTGCAATACCTAAAAATTTATCTTAAAAGAACCTAAGTAGTTGAGAAATACTGCTCATTTATACAAACCTAATACCATTTGTAAAAATAAACATCCTTTTTATAAAAGCAACTCCTCAAGAACATCACTCTATTTCTACTACACATTTATTATTATCAGCCTCAATGACTTTTATACCTAAGTAGGCTACATCTACAGAGACTGGTTCCAGACCTACAGTCAAGACTGTCCTCATACTGTTGTGACTCCACCAGGAAGCAGGAGCTGAGGCTGTGATGGAGATGAAGGAGAGGTGGGGGAGGGGAGGACACCAGTAATCACTCCACTCTTACCTTGAGCAGCTTCATCAGCCCCTCCAGCTGGACCATCAGCTCCCGCCTGCTCTCCTGCAGTGCCGACATCCTCTGCTCCAGCTCATCTTTCCTCTGCCTGTCCAAGAGAGAAGCCCGTCAGAAACAAAGCTTCACTGTGTGGTACTGGCTGGAAATGGGCAGTTCCACACAAACTGGTCAAAATCAGATGGGGGTCAAATACCTACAAGTGGTATTGTATGTGCCATTTGATAAACAAAAGTTTTTAATATTAATGTAGGTAAGGTTACCAGTTTCTTTTAGGGTTAGCAATTTAAGGAATTATTTTTCTATTTCAAAATCCTAAAGAAATTCTTCTGGGAAGTTTGAAAGTTTTGTTTAACCCATCAAAGAACATGCCAGGTTGCAAAGCCTGTTTGGCAAAGCCGTTTCCTTTCCTCCGGATATGGAAGCTCCTGAAAGTGACCACTTTCTGCTTTCTCAAGCTTACATCCCCCTTGAACTTAAAACTCCTGCTTCTTGTTGACATCTCTGGACTCTGCCTTGTGCCAACTAAATGAATATATGATACTTTTCAGATCCTTCTAGATTATCTGGGCACTTTCTGCAACTTTAGTTCTATCAACAGGCTGACAGTTTTTGCTTTCCTAGATATAAAAAGGCACTTCTGTCTGAGCTGAGTGGGGAAGGAAAGGATATGTATCTTATAGTGCCAGTCCACTGTTTGTGTATTTTCTTGTCTTTCTTAAGATAACATCAACCACACCAATGACCCAAATGTGTGACAGTGAATCGTAGAGCAACTAAAATTTCAGCCCAACTAAACGGAGAACCTGGAATTAGTGTTTAGGAGAATCTCTATACCTCCAATGATTTTCATGAGTTTAAATTCTTATTAGTGATATAAACCTAAACAATAGGATACTTATGGAAAACAGTAATCTCTGGTCTATAGGAAAAGAGATCATGGATGAGGTTATATAACTTAAACAAAGAAAGCTGAAAAAGAAGAAAGGAAAAGCAACTGTGTCCAGCTGTGCAGAAGCTCAGAAGACAGTGTATTAAAAAGCAACTGCAACACCACCAAGCACTGTGTGGGTATTTAGAGCTCTGCTGAGAATCAAGCCACCAAGCGTGTCTTCCACGGTACCTTTACTTACCAAGAGTAGACAGGTGTGTGTGGGATGGACAGGAAGCAAGGGCCTAAGAGCAGATCAGCTTCCCCAGCAACGTCCAAAGGGCTTCACACTGGAACTGACCCTGCTCTGCCTCCTCAGTTTCCTGAGCCTCGAGTCATTTTATACTTAAGAAGAGGTGGAAAACTACCACTGTCTTGGTTTCAAGTTGTAGAGGGGGTGGGGAAAGAAGCAGCACACTTTTCCAGTGAAGTCCTGCTCGGTCCCTGAAGCACCAAGAGAATCGACTCTCAGGAAAGGCCAAGCACTATTCCTGTTGGGTCTCTAAGTCAGAACACTTAGCAAGAGCACAAGAACTGCAGCACAACAGCCTTCTTCAAACACTTATCCCTGGTTTTGAGGGAGCAAGGAATTTTCTTAGCTCTGTCCTGCTGGCCCAAGTTCTCAGTGGGATTGAGGATGAGGCTCTTAAAAGCAGTCAAACTGGACTGGCAGCATTCATCTATGAGTTGGTATCCAGAGACTGAAATTTCCTCTGCAGATGACAGTGTGGGGACAGAGTGGGGACAGATGTGCAGCGGTACCACCTACCTCAGCAGCCGCAGCTCTGCCAGCAGCGTGGGGTTCTGCTGGGCCTTCTCGGGCGTGGGCTGGGACGCCTGCTCGTGCTCCAGACGTAGACGCTGGATCTCCTGCAGGATCTCTCTAGAGAGAATGATGAAAGAAAGATGGCTGCCCAGCAATTCACAGACCTCACGCTTCTTCCTTTACAGGTTAATTCTCTCACCATGCCTCCTCTGCAAACCTTATCTGGATCACTGCTAAATGACCAAAGTGTGAAATGGACAAAAAGGCATAACTCTTTTGTCTTGAAAAATCCCCGGGAAAGGAGAAAGATAACTTGAATACCTTCTTTGTCTCGCCCCTCTCTGAGGAGAGGAAGAGAACTGCTTGCAGCTGCAGCCTCTGAGGGCAGGTCCTGGGCTGACCTGCCTCGAGTCTCCTTGCATCTCCCTGAGTTTCCTAGTTTTCCCTGGACCACAGGCCAATTTCCTTTCTCATGCAGGCTACACTAGGTCCATTCTCCTTGTCCCGGTTTCAACCTTTCAGTGCACAGTGGTGTGTTGTCTGGTTGCAATGCCTTTATAAGGCATTTTAAATGGCATTTTTCCCCCCTGAGACCAGTCAGGCACAAGTAGCGTAATGGGCCAGAACAGGATGACTAGACAGAGCAAAATACAGCTGGGAAGCAGACTGGAGAAATGAATTGTGGGAGGGGGACACACTGGCAGGAGGGAGGGGCCCTAGGACAAAGAATCTATGGAGGGAAGGAGGACTGGGGCTTTGGAAAATCAGAATCAATAACACGCAGATAGGCACCAGAGTCCTGGGCATTTCCTGGACGTGGGCCACTCTATTCACTCAGCTGGGATCTTCCTGTGTGGTCAAAGTCTGTCAGAAAATGAGAACCAGATACTCACATGAGATACTCATGGCCTCAAGGAGTGGGCCACTCTTACCTGTTCTTGTTTTCTAGTTCTGCAATAAGCTGTCTCTGTTGCTTGTTGGCATCGAAATTAAAGCTCACATCAGTGGGAGGGCGAGTCTGTAGCGGGGAGACAATTGGTTTTCCAGAGTCTGAGACAGACTTTCTTCAAAAACAGACTTTTCCTTGACATACCATGAATATACCCATTTTCCATGTACAAACCAGCTAGTCATAGTATACTTAAACAACTGTACAACCAATGATGACAGCCTAGTTTTAGAACTTTTCTATTACCAAAATCTTCCCTCATGTCAGTCAGTCACAAATTGCTGCTCTTACCTCCAACTGGATGTTCTTCCTGACCAGTTTTGCCATTCTAGAAATTTCACCTAAATGGAATCATACTACAAGGAGTTTTTGGTGTGCCGTGAGTTTTTAAGATTCATCTCCAGGAGACAGTGGTTCTTCTGTTTTTATTGCTGAGTATTATTCATCATTTTTAGCTTCTAGTTATTACAAGTGAAGTTGCTTTGAATTTTTATTTAAGAGTTTTTGTTTTAATATTTTTATTTCTCTTGCATAAACACATTGGTCTAGAATTGCTGAGTTATATGGTTACTATACTTAACATTTGAAGAACTGTTAGACACTTCCTTTTACTTCTTCAAACTTTTTTTCCTATTTTCTAGGTGGTATTAGGGTTTGAACTCAGGGCCCTATGCTTGCAGGTAGGAGCTCTATTGCTTGATTCAAACTTTTCCAGTGGTTGGACCTCTTTGAATCCCAGTGATAATGCACGAGGGTTACAATTCGTATTAACTTTTTGTTGTAATTAGCCCACTGAGAGTTATGTTTTTTTAAAAAAAACAAATATTGGGCTGGGAAGGTGGCTCAGTGGTAGAGTGCTTGCCTTGCGTACATGAGGCCCTGGGTTCAATTCCTCAGCACCACATAAGCAAAAAAGCTGGAAGTGGTGCTGTGGCTCAAGTGGTAGAGTGCTAGCCTTGAGCTGAAGAGCTGAGGGACAGCGCCCAGGCCCAGAGTTCAGGCTCCATGACCGACAAAACAAACAAACAAAAAAACAAACGTTATGTACTATACAATCTAATTTTCTTATGTGTAACTCAGTGGTTTTAGTGCATTTATGAAGTTGTGAAACCATCACCGTTATCTAATTCCAGAATATTTTAGCTCACTCCAAGAGACCCCATGCCGTTAGCAATCCTACTCCAGCCTCATTTTCTATTCCTCGACATTCACCCTTCTACGCTGCCTCTGGGTAGTTGCCTATTCTGTCCAGTACATATAATAAGTGGAATCATGCAATATGTAGCCTTAATATTTAATTTCTTTCACTTGGCAAAATGCTTTTAAGATTCATCCATGGTGTACCATGCATTAGTACTTCATTCCTTTGTATAGATGAATAATCTTCTACAACATGGACATACATATTTTGTCTATCTAATAGTTGATGGACATTTGGGATGTTTTCATTTTTAGCTACTCTGAATATTATTTGTGGAGAGATGTTCTTATATATCTAGGAGCGGACTTGCTGGGTCATAGGGCAAGGCCTCCATGTTCTTATCAACCTTTGACCATCTTCTTGATTGGTCTTCCCAGTGTGTGAAATGACAGCTCATCATGGATGCATTTTGTAGTTCCATAGTAACCATTATGTTGAACATACTTTCATGAGCTTACTGGCTATTTGTATATATCTTTGGAGAAATCCTGTAGGTAGGATTCAAATCTCCACTGACATTTCTGACCCTTGTCATCTTCTTTAAGAATACAGTAGCCAATGAATATAAAATAGAGCAGATGGATGGCTCAAGTGACAGAGCACCTGCCTAGCAAATGTGAGGCTCTTAGTTCAAACCCGAGAACTTCAAGAACAAATAAATGAATGCTTGAAAATAAATGGAAAATAAACATACAAGTTGGGCACTGGTGGCTTACACCTGTAAGCCTAGCTGAGATCTAAGGATTGTGGTTTAAAGCCAGCCTAGGCTGGAAAGTCCACGACAATATTATCTCCAATTAACTACTAAAAAGCCAGAAGTACAGATCTGACTGGTAGAGCACCAGTCAGCCTTGAGTAAAAAAGCTCACAGACATTGCCCACTCCCTGAATTCATGCCCCAGAATAGGTACAAAAAACCACAACCAAACAAACAAACAAATAAAACCTCATTGGTTGTGTATAACTTTCTATAAATATGGAAAGTGATCACAAGTGTGTTTAAGGGAGACCATATTCCTACATGAAACCATATAACCATGTATTTTAATCTCAAAATCTAGTTGGGGACCTGTGCTCAGGTAATTTTGCCTATCTGTGACTCAGTTTTCTTATCTGTAAAATCACGTCAGGAACCATAGCGGTCCTCCAGATTTTGAGGACCAGACATCATCTTTCTGAACCATCTGCCCCAGAGTTCTAGATATAGAAGGCTCTCAGAATGGTGGCTACTATTTCAAATTCTATTATTAGGTCAGAATAGTTGAAGGAAAAAATACTTCTCAAATGTCTTACTAGTATAAGAAAGACAGGTTTGGGGCACAAAGGGTAAGAGATCACTGGAAAGTTAAATAATAATCAAGTACCTAGCAATGACTGTGACTGTTAGGTTGAAGGACTGGATGGATGGATCCAGTCTCGAGCAATGAAAGGTAAAAAACCTTAGGGATCAGAGGTCCACCCTGGGAGAGTGAAAGTTTAATATTTGAGAACGCAGGGCATGCATGCATTGATGCGGTGGCCCGTTAACTGTAAAAGGACAAGGTGCCTCTCCATTCTGACATACTGGTTTAGGTAGTCTTACAGAACTCGATCACCTTCAAGGAGATGAAGACACACCTGAGAAGGCAGGGTAAGTAAGACACAAGAGCCCTTTGGTTTCATGGGGAAGATGTTACAAAACTAAGGTAAGCTGGCATAGTTAGCAAAGTATAACCAAGCAGGATACATTTCTGTAGCCTCTAACAGAGAAGATGCTCCTGAACCGGGCAAGATGAATCCCAAAGAGAAGCTCCTGACATCTCCCAGACTGTCTTTGTACCCATAGTGGTCTGCCTGCCATCCAGCCTCCTGGAGGCTAAATGGAGAGCTGTGGATTATTAACCTCTCTCAAAAATCCAATAATGCTGTTTAAGGCAGTGGTTCCCAAGCCAGCTGTAAATCAGAAGACTGGGAATCTTTTCCTCCCTCCTTCCCCTCAGTAAAGATCGATAGATCCTAAGCCCAGAGGTTCTTACTTAGCAGGTCTGTAGCAAAGCTGAGAATCTATATATCGCACATATTTTTCAAATGCTTCTCATGTGGTAGTATGTGGCCGTGTTTCATAGCATGTCAGTAAATAAGTGGAAAACACTACATGGAGACAGCTGATCTCTTAAGTCTAAGAAGCCAGGAGTGAGGGAGAAGCCAAAATGAGGAGCAAAGAAGGCTGGGCTACAGTAACTAGAAAAAAGCTTCTCAGAAATGTTTAATGAAGAAGCACATTGGTTTCCCCTTCCCTTTATCATTCTTCCAGAGTTTTCTATAATGAGTTTTAAAGTTTTCATTGGAAAAAAGAGAACAGTTAAAAGGCAAACAAGACATGTGATTACATCCAATGCTGGTGATGCTTTAGATGAAATTAAGAATCTGCTGTTAAACCTATGGCTTGCCACATGTAACATTTCTTGTTTTGTTTTACATAAGAAAATTAGGGACATGGGAAGGATGTATTTGGTCCCCTGGCTCAACTAAGCAACATGCCAGCCGAGGTTGCTCGGCCACGCTGGACAGGCACTCATGGACTGGGAGGATCGGGAGCATGGCTTGGGTGTGCCCTAGGAGGCTCCAAAGATTTAAAGGTCTCTCTTTGTGGAAGGGAGGTCTGTGAAGAAGAAGAATCAATACAAAGCCTATCTGGCAGGCTATAAATAAATTCTTTTGAGCACTATACCCACTTTATGCAAAGCACTTGTATCAGTGTGAGATTAGAGGATTAGGAGCCCGAGTTTAACAGAAATCTAGTCAAGAAGAATTCTTCCTGAGAGGCCCAATATTTTATAAGATAACCACACATAGCAAAATAAATGGAAGATGAAAGGAACCCTATCAGTACTCCTCCCAGACTATCTTAACAATGATGGTTTTCAGGAGAATTAGAGAACCATCAGAAACCATCATGTAAACATCCCTATCTTGGCCCCCAGCTAAGGAGATGAAGATCTCAGGTTCAAAGGCTTTGCTGCTTTTTTATTTCAAGCATTTTGAAAGTGCCTATGTATGGTCACCAAGGCTATCTTATGGTATTAAGTATACTTACTAAAATTCAACTTCAATGCAGCACATCTCAACTCATTTATTTACATGTTTTAATGTCTAAAATAACCTGGACAGCTGTGGCTAAGGGCACACATTAGGATTCACTAATTCTGTAGTCCTCTCTTCCTTGCCCAGACTTCTTTCTCTATTATGTTCCACTTCACTAACCTTTACATTGCAATGTCAGAGTCAGATAATGTGACCTGAAATAAGATTCTCAAGAAAAGAATTTTGAAATCTAAATAAACCCAAAGGGAAAAATTATTTTTTTGGGAGAAGAATAAAAGTAACTTCATTTCTCTTTTATTACTATCCTTCCTTCTTTCCTTCCCGCCCCTCCTCCTCCCTCTTTCCCTCCCCCTCCTCTTCCTCCTTTTCCCTCTCCCTTCCCTCCTCCCCCCCCCCTTCCTCTCCCTCCTCCTCTTCCTGACAAGGTTTCATTTCATTATATAGCACAGGTCTCAAACTTCCAATCCTCCTGCTCCCAATCTCCCAAGTGCTGGAACTACAGGCTGTACTACAAAGCCCAGCCCTAGGTAGTTTCTCTCCGGCTTAGTTTTCTCACAAGATTGCTTCAAATAGGGGCTGGAAAGTTGGCTCAGTGGTAGGGTGCTTGCCTTGCATGCATGAGGCCCTGGGTTCGATTCCTCAGCACCATATAAGCAGAAAAAAAAGCCAGAAGTGGTACTGTGGCTCAAGTGGTAGAGCACTACCCTTGAGCTGAAGAACTGAGGGATAGTGCCCAGACCCATATGCAAAGCATTTAGAAAAATCACTGCCACAGAGTATTCAATAAATGTTAGCTACTTGTATTATTCTTTTCACATGAATCTTACTGTGACCTTTCTCAGGACCTGTCAAGTATTTATATTTTTCCTCTTGATACTTTAGCTCATTGTTTTGGTACATTAAAGATATTTAACTATCTTTTTTTCTCCACAAAGAAAATTCTTAAACTTTTAGCATAAAATATATCAGCAGTACTAGATGCAGACAGATGAATTACAAAAATATTATTATTGGAAGTGGCCCTATGGCTCAAGCGGTAGAGCACTTGCCTTGAGCTGAAGAGCGCAGGGCCAGCGCCCAAACCCAGAGTTCAAGCCCCCACAACTGTCCAAAAAAAAAAAAGTACTAAAAATATTATTATTGTTGCTAATTTTTGAGACAGTATTGCTAGGTAACCCAGGCTGGCCTTGAACTCTTGTCCTTCTATGTCAAGTCTCCAAGGATTGGGATTACAGGCATGTACCATCATGCTCGTGGCTCATATTTTTTTCCCCCCTCTATCAAAAAACTGTTGTGTTGTTGTTGTAGATAAATCTTCTTGCCAATCCTTTGAGGTACTATGATTTATTTTTATTTTTGCCAGTCCTGGGCTCTGGGCTCAGGGCCTGGGCTCTGTCCTCTCTGTGTTCAAGGCTACCACTCTACCACTTGAGCCACAGCAACACACCTGGCTTTTTCTGAATAGTTTATTGGAGATAAAGGGTCTCACAGACTTTCCTGCCCTGGGTGGTTTAAAACCATGATTATCAGATTTCAGCCTCCTGAGCAGCTAGGATTACAGGCTTGAGCCACCAGTGCCCAGCTAGTACTATGATTTTTTTCTGGCTGCCTTTTGAAGATCTCTTTGTATTCTGAAGCTGCACTAATATGTCTGGGGTGCAATTATTTTCATTTATACATTTTGAGACTTACTGTAATGTTTTAATCTTGAGGGTTTCTATCAGCCATTAACTCTTCACCCTAAGTCTATTTCCTTTTTTGAAATTTCAATTAGATGACTGCTCTCTGTCCTCTATCTCTGAACATGCTGTTTCAAATCTCCCAACTCCTGTGTTATGTTTAGGGAAATTTTCTTACATACATTTTCCAACTTACAAATATTTTATTCAGCTGTGTCTAATATATTTAAGACATCTATTAAGTTTTAAAATTTTTATTAACTGGAAAAAACAAACCTCTCCATTTCTAGCTGGCTTTTTTTCAGCTCTGGTCTTTGTTTTGGTGTTATAGACTGAAACAGTGTCTCCCACAAGCTGGGCTGACCAGCCTATCACAGCACACTTTCCCAGCCCAGATATTTTAATGTCTTCTTTTGTTGTCTTTTACATGCCCCCCTTTAGGTGTTTAGAAATTTCACCATTATTTTATAGCCAACAACTATAATATCTAACTTTTGAAGCATATGGGTCCATGTTTAGTAGCTTCATGGGAACATTACAAGCTCTCAGGTTCTGTGAGAGCCTCCTGAGGTTTGTATTTTCCTGTCAGGCACCTAGGGGTTATTAAGCTTATGTTAAACCTTTCAGCTGAGCACTTACACATGTAATCCTAGCTACTTAGGAGGCTGAGATCTGAGAATCCTGGTTTGAAGCCAGCCTGGGAAGGAGACTCTTATTTCTAATTAGCTAGTACAAAGCTGGAAGTGGAGTTGTGGCTCAAGTGGGTGGAGCACTAGCTTTCAGCAAAAAAGCCAAGGAACAGTGCCCAGGCCATGAGTTCAAGCCCTAGTACATGTGTACACATACACACACACACACACACACACACACACTCCATCGGAGTTCAAGCCCTAGTACATGTGTACACACACACACACTCCATCTCAGTGTTTCTGAAAGTAGGGAGTAATATAAATGCACCTAACTCAAGAATAAACAGGTCTAAGGTTTAAATTTTCCAGAAAGACTTCTGCTGCAGAAGCAGGCCTACTGACTTTCTTATCTGATCTCTGTGCTGGCCTTCAGTGGCCTGTCACAGCATACCTTCATCCGGGCCATGCTCTGGAAGCCTCGCTTCCAATCTCTACCTTGCATCTAGCAAGTTTTCACCTATAGAACCTAGGGACAATTAAAACCCAAGCACAGGGCAGGCTAGCAGTGGCATAAAAACCAGCTCTTAGGCTGGTTTTCAGGAAACTGAACTCTCTTCTAACTTACTTTCAGATCCCAACTCAAGTAACACTTACACAGAGGTGACCCGGTCCTCATCTGCTGGACAAACCCAGCCTCATAGCTCCCTGTACACCCCTCCCCTCCTTTTGTGTAATAATTTGCAATTATACTTAATAGTACAATTACTTGTTTGTTTTTTGCCACTAGACTGTTAGTTCCCAGAGGGCAGGAATCATTTGTCCACTATAGTGACCCATCTAGCATAGCACAGCCACAGAAGTAAAATTTCCCAAATAAACTTTATGTGCAGGCTGTGAGGAAGAGTAGATGTTAGGAAAGGATTAACAAGGAAGAGAGGAAAAGGGAGAAATATTTTGACATGAATATATAAAAACTGTAAGGAATAAATTGCAAACCTCTCATTTGTAACCATTTCCATCAAACCTACTTATATACCATTCTTGAATTTTTTTTTCTTTTAATTGAGATGCAAAGTTTGGACCTTACCTGTGCCATTCAATCAGTTTTGGCCAAAGTACTCAGGCATGTAACCACAACTCTATGAAAATGTGGAGCAGATCCATCAACCCAGAAAATTCCTTTACACCCTTACCCCCCCTTCAACATTTCCATTTCTATAAACAACCCTGATCTGATTTCTATCACCACAAGTTAGTTTTCCTATTCTAGAATTTCATTTACGTGAAATAAAACACAATGTGCTTTTTGTGTTTGGCTTCTTTCATGCATCATAGTGCTTTTGCTATTCACTCATGCTGTTATAGGATTTAGTGTGTTTGTTGTTTTTGTTGTTAAGTAATAGTTCGCTGTATGGATATACCACTTTCTGTTTGTCTATTCATGTGTTGATAAATATATCTGGCATTCCAACTAATACAATTAGAACTGCTATGAAGATTCTTGTCTAAAGCCTCTGACCACAGATGTTTTCATTTCTCCTGGATAAATATCTAGGAGCAGAACTGGGGGTCACAGGATAAATTTCACCCCTTTAAAAAACTGCATTTCCTTGATAGCTAAGGATGATGATCATTTCTTCAAGTGCTTATTAGCCATCTGTATATCTTCTGAGAACTGTTTGATTTGTTTGCCCATTTATTAATTATATTGTTTGTTCTTTTGCTGTTTAGTTTTCTGAGCTCTTTGTATAGTCTGTCCACTGAAGATTTTCTTCACTCTTCCAGTTCTGGTAATTGTTTCTTTTGATGTGCAGAAATGTTTTAATTTGGTGCAGTCAACTCTTGCTTTTATTTGCTGGGAAAGTGGAGTTTTATTCAGGAAATAATTACCTATGTCTGTTTCTTCCAGAGTTTTCCCTATGTTTTCCCAGAATAGTTTCAAGGTTTTAAAGTTTTACATTAAGATCTTTGATTCATTTGGAGTTGATTTTTGTACAATACAAGAGACAGAGGTCTACTTTCTGCTTTCTCCATGTAGGTATGTAAGTTTTCCAGCTACAGTTGTGTGGGTTTTGTTTTTGTTTTTTGTCTGTCATGGGGCTTGAACTCAGGGCCTGGTTGCTGTCCCTGAGCTCTTTTTTGCTCAAGGATAGCGCTCTACCATTTTGAGCCATAGTGCCACTGGTGGTTAACTGGAGATGAGTCTCACAAACTTTCCTGCTTTGAACCAGGATCCTCAGATTTCAGCTCCCCGAGTAAGAAGATTACTGGCATGAGCCACTAGTGCCTGGCTAGCTGTGTGGTTTCATTTCTGGGTCTTCTCACAAACTCTCCTGCCCAGGTTGGCTCTGAGCCATGAGTAGCTAAGATTACAGTCATGAGCCACTCACGATACAGTTCAACTCTCAGCTTTTTGGTGGTTAATTGGAAATTGACCTTCCTTCCTGGCCTGGCTTTAAACTGCAATTCTCAGAACTCAGCCTCCTAAGTGGCTAGGATTACAAGCATGAACCCCACACACGATTACTTTATTATATTTTAAGTAACTTTTTTTTCCATTTTCTGTATCGTTTGTACATTAGAATAATGATTTCTGCTATCTACTAGGATCTTGTGTTCACTTACCATGTTTCCTGCTTCTGCAGCCAGTCGGGCAGCATAACGAGCGATGAGCCGATGTTCCTCGTCCAGTCGGCTAGGACTGTCCAGAACACTGCTGAGGAGATAAACATCCAGTAGGTACCTATTAAACATCTCTAGTTCTTGCTTCATTAGAAAGAACATACAAGAGAAAAGCTTGTAAATAATAATAGTAATCAAAGTATTTAGGCCTAGTCATGGATACATCTCCCTGAGACAAAGGTGACCTTGGAGAAGTGATGTCGCTACATGTGGGGCGTCCTCAGCAGCACGCTCCCAGTGTGCCCACACCTCCCAAGAGGCATTTGTTGAGCAAGAAAGAGCACCTACAAAATCGGAGACAGGGTATTTCTAACTAAAAACAAACAAAAAGAACACTAATTAAAAAAAAATCCCGGGCTGGGAAGGTGGCTCAGTGGTAGAGTGCTTGCCTTGCATGCATGAGGCCCTGGGTTCGATTCCTCAGCACCACATAAGCAGAAAAAAGCCGGAAGTGGCACTGTGGCTCAAGGGGTAGAGCACTAGCTTTGAGCTGAAGAGCTGAGGGACAGCGCCCAGGCCCAGAGTTCAGCCCCCACAACAGACAAAAATAAATAAATAAATTTAAATCCCTCATGCTTTTTTAGACCTAGTTCTTGAATTCAAAAGACCATGAGGAAATTACAACCTTATTAAAAACAAATACTGAGTATTGTCTGAGCCAGTGGGGAAGCCATGCTATGGAATGAGTCTCTTTTTCTGTCTTCCTGTGTCTAGTTTGCATTCAAACTCTCAATCTGCCTGTCTGGGATTACAGGTGTGAGCAACCATGCCCACACCTTGTTTAGTCCATTATTCCTGAATAGGAAGACCAGCCATTTAAAAGTAAAGACCCACGGTGATGGATATCAGATAATGGCACCTGGGTGAAAGAAGGTTCTGGAGTAGTTGGCTAGGTCTATGTATATAACTGTCTTCTTTAATTTAGTCCCTATGCCATCCGCTGTGTACCAGCATAAGTGCAGTTCTAGATTAACAGGAACTGTGGCTCTATAGTTCTCTTTATTTGAGTGTGGCACAAGCTTTAGGACAGCAGCAGAGACCAGAAGGGCTTGCTGGCAATTGGCTGTATCTTGGCCCAAGGTCACTAAAGTTTCAAAAAAAAAAAAATTCGATCAGAATTTGGTAGCATGACAAATAAAAGATGAGAATTTAAAGACATGAGTTCAATAATCACCAAATCTTATTAAACTGAGAGGAAATGTGGGAAGGTTAAAGTTAAATCAATAAAAAGGTTTTCCTGACTTTTTTTTTTCTTGGTTTTAAAAAAAATAACCTTTCTTTTTCTATCTCTACAGCCTTCTTTTTTTTTCTTTTTGGTAAAGTTTAGGCTGGCCTGAATCTTACTATGTATATGGCTAATTCAGTAAGCTTAATTTAGTTTTTTTCTTCTGGGATATATTTTTAAAAAATGGATTTTAAGTCTTTTAACACAGCATCTGTCAATACATTGTAATTTCTGGAGTATAATTACAGTCTCCTCCAAAGATCTTGTACTAAGAGGATGCTACCACCAGTTGGTTTTAATACAAGTGTCAAAGTCCCAAGTCTGAGATTATCTGTATTTGTACCTTAAAGGTGTTTACCTGAAACAAGAATATCTTTATCTTATAAATGAAAAAGAAAACCAACAACATGACAATGAATGATGATTAGAACAAATGGGTAATGCCACGGGGGACTGGCAGCCTAAGAAGTGAGACCTATGGTGGCTAACAGGGGACACAATAAGGCCCCCGTCACGCTGCCTCTTACATGGAAGTTAGCCCTCCCTGTTACTTAAATATATACAAGTGTAGATGGCACTGCTCAAGGCCAATGAAAACTATTTGAGGACAATCAGAAAGGTTCCTTATTCCTCTGCCTAAGTTGATATATATATTCAGAATTAGTCAGGAAATTTTGGGTTTCACCAAGGAAGTGGGGGGCTCAGTTCCTTAGACCATACATCAAGAAAAGAGACAACACTGACTGACCCACTCATCTTGCTATCCCAGGGCCACTGGACACTGGTTCTTGCTCCGGGAGCCTAGTGCCTAAACCATGAGACATGAGGAACTCAGCTAAACATATTATTATAAATCTCTGTAGGTTGAAATAATCAGGTCACAGTCTGTTTTAACATTCTGCTACTATTCTACCATGGAAGCTTTCAATCGACCTGGACAACTGTCCTTACTGACAGAAAGTCATTTATCCTCCTTAGGCTAAAACAACTGTTCTGAGAGACCAAGAAGCTGTAACAACTGCACAGAAACCTGGTGGACAAGAAGGTGCTCTAGATGATACCATGTGCATCAGGCCTCTCCTCCTTCCCATGCTCTACGGCCTCCCTGGTCCTCCAAGGTATAGGAGAGGAAAGGGTCCCGAAGGAATGCTGCTTCTTAGTCACACTGGGAAGACTACAGGGGAATGGGATGGGCCACAATATTAAGGGAGCACTTTTCACAGTCTGCTTTCCCCACTGATTGTCATTCCTCTGTTATCGTAGGGACTAGGAGTAAGTCTCAAATGACCTTTCCAAGGAGCTTGGGCCAGAGGTGGTCAAAACTAAAATTAAAACTTAAAGTTCCAGTCTCAGGCTGAAATAATTTATAAATTCTGGTTTTCCTTTCTAGGAAAAAAAATCTTAAAGTAAGGATTTACAAGTTGGCATGCACCTCCTCTTGGGCACTGTGTAGAGGGGAGGGATGGCTTCAGATCATTGGTATTTGATCTGTCATCCTGCTTGAGGGAAGAGTTGTTGGGGTGGGTGTGGGCTGGTGAGTGGGTGGGCACAGCCTTTGGATCTACCTGAATATAACATTGTTACTTCTCAGTCTCCTGAGGGAATCAGTCACAGTCCCATAAAAACAGTGAGACAGTAGCTTCTGGGGTCAGATATCCCAGTAGGGATATATCTAATTATTAGTGAATGAGGAAGGAGATAAAGTTTGTAAGAAGCCTTTAGGTGGCAAGGTTCTCGTAAACATTGTTGAAATCACTGGTTTAAATAATGAACAATGATGGACTTCTGCTAACAGACAGGGCATGGTTAAGATACAAAAGGATGAAGAGGGTGATGGTATTAGAGATAGTAAGAATCTCACTTTGGGACAGTGTTGATTAGCCCTCAACTTTGAAGGCCAATAGAAAAATTTCATTATTTAGGTATGAATGGACAGGAATAAGAAATATGAAACACACCAAAATAATCTATTTCTAGAACTGTCAGTCTCTGAGGTGAAAGGTGAACATACACTTCCAGTGTAACCGGTGGGGCCTGCTTCAGAGGTGACTTTCTTACTCTATATTTAGGTGAGTGCCAAGCTGGCAAGACTTGTGCTCTTGTGGAAGCCAATGCTTTAGTAGTTATTTTAACTCTGCCAATCATAGCTGGCAGCTGCTCAGGAACACGCCATATACAGAGTTTTTCCCCATGGTAACCCCATGTAAGACAGCTCTCGCTCCCCTCCCCCTCCCCCTGGCCACCCGCCTGGTGCTGCTGCTCTACCACCAACCGTGTGCAGTGCTGCAGGCGGGCCACATAGGAGGCTATCAGCGCATGCTCATCGGCCAGGGGACTGGGCATGTCCTGGCTATACTGTAACCTGGGAATGATGGAAGCATGACACAAACACAGACAGAGGGAGAAATGAACATGGATTAAAATGAGCAAACAAAAGTAGAAAATAAATCATGATAAGAAAAACTTTTTAAAAAAAGCTACAATGTGTAATGGAATATAGTGTTAGTCCATTGGTAATCCATTTCACAAATCGTGTGTGTGTGTGTGTGTGTGTGTGTGTGTGTGTGTGCGTGCGCACGTGCATGTGCGCGCGCATGTGCCAGTTTCTGAGGCTTGAACTCAAGAACCTGGGTGCTATTCTTCAGCTTTTCTGCTCAAGGCAGGAGCTCTACCACTTAAGCCACACCGCCACTTTTGGCTTTTTTTTTTTGGTAGTTAACTGGAGAGAAGAGTCTCACAAGGACTTTCCTGTCTGGGCTGGTTTTGAACTATGATGCTTAGATCTCAGCCTTCTGAGTAGCTAGGATTACAGGCAAGAGCCACGGATGCCCAACTCACAAATCCTTTGAAAACGACTTCAAGCAGCCTTTTAGGTATTAGCTTTGGCCAGCAGCCCTTGAGGAGGAAGAACCGTGTTCACCAGTTCTGAGTAGGCCCAGGGCTATGGAGAGGAATCATGTTTTAGAAAAAGTCCACTGGAGGGGCTGGGAAGGTGGCTCAGTGGTAGAGCGCTTGCCTTGCATGCCCGAGGCTCTGGGTTCAATTCCTCAGCACCACATAAGCAAAAAAGAAAAAAGCCGAAAGTGGAGCTGTGGCTCAAGTGGTAGGGCGCTAGCCTTGAGCTGAAGAGCTGAGGGACAGCGCCCAGGCCCAGAGTTCAGGCCTCACGACCAGACCCCCAAAAAAAGAAAAAAGAAAAAAAGAAAAAGTCCACTGGAAGAACAACCAAGGAACTACACTTCATAGTACCTGTGGGGTCTGGACCAGGCTTAAGAGGAGACTTTATTCAGTTGTACCGACCTATTTCATATTACTAAATGACCCCTCATGTTATACTTCTAAAGCTCATGTCTATCAAATATGAATATGAGCATTGAGTATGAATATTCAGTGTTTCCACAGGCTACCAGGTAACTACTTTTATTTCCTATAAGGAAAGTGTCTTTAGCATATCTCCAGGATAACAGTACTTAGACAAATTCACTAGGACTGTAATTGCATTGAGAGACAGCACTGTGTGGCTCACTCTTATAGATGCATGAAGGTCCTTAAGCATATGGTCTGTTTTTCCTCTTACTTAAAAAAGTTAGAACTTGTAAAGAATAGAATCATCTCATGATTCCTGTTCATGAACCCATCACCAAACTTCAACAAACGCCATCATTTTGTCAGTCTTCTTTAATTTATTCAGCTTCATGATAATGAAAATCTCAGGAAAATGGGGCTGGGAAGGTGGCTCAGTGGTAGAGCGCTTGCCTTGCATGCATGAGGCCCTGGGTTCGATTCCTCAGCACCACATAAGCAAAAAGAAAAAAGCCGGAAGTGGCTCTGTGGCTCAAGTGGTAGAGAGGGACAGCGCCCAGGCCCAGAGTTCAGGCCCCATGACTGGAACCCCCCCCCAAAAAAAAATCTCAGGAAATTGCTTCACCTGAGAATCTTTGTGGCTGTATATCTGTCAGACAGTAAAACTATTTTATTTATCCTCAACATCACTACCCTGCCTTAAAAAAAAAAAAACTAACAAAGATTTTCAGTGTCTCAGCCACCTAAATATTTCTTTAAATCTTAAAAGGCCTTTTGCAGTTAAAAATCAATATCCAAACAAAATTCCTACTTGCATTTGCTATGTACATCTTTTGTGTTTATATCTGGCTAATGGACTTCTGGGTTTTTGTTTTGATTTTTGGAATTTTTGAGACAAGATCTTGCTATGTCATGAATGCAAACCTTGAATCTGAGTTCTTCCTCTGTCATGTGCTAGGATTACAGAGAGGAACCACTTTGCTCAGCTACCCTTCTGATTTTAATTTACAACTGTTCCCCCTTTCCTTATTTATTTATGACATTTCTTTGTGAAGAAACCAGGTCACCTTTAAGAAAACGCTATCTGGATTTGAATGCTTCCTGTGGTACCATTTTACTTGTTTCTCTGCCTCCTGTGGTCAGAATCTGGATGCTTAAAGTTTTTTGATAAGGCTTTGTTTTTGAGAAATGACAAGAATGGGATGATCTCTTTATTCTTCAGCAACACTCAAGGTGACCTCTAATAGACTATCATTTAGAATTCAAGGAGATTAAAAAAAAAAAACTAGTAAGGAGAACAAGAAGAAACATAAGGGAAAAGATAAGAGCACAATATCCAACCAAGTATAAACATGCTTCAAGGAAGGAAATACAAGCACTGAGTGCTGGCCACTGGAATCAGTGCCATGGCTATCTCTGGTTTCCTTGACCAGCACAGTTCTGGCAGCAGGATGGAAGATGAAACTGGCTGGGGTATGCTCCAAAAAGGATGGTCCAATAGATGTTGAAGACACTCACTATAGATAACTCCTTCTCAAGAAGTTCCTCTGAAATGGGAAGGAGAGATATGTATACATATGGGGGAGGAGGGAGGGAGATGACTGAGGCCAAGATGCGATTTTTTTAAAAAATAAATTTCAGAGAGGAGGGATGGGTTAAAAGAGATGGGTGACAATGTTGTTAGACGCTTTGTACTCATACAATGTTTTGTAGAATGGGAACTTCTTTGTACAACTACTTAAAAATAATTAAGAAAAGAAAAAAATAAATTTCAAAAAAAAAGGAGCAATATCAACAGATTTGTAGGTTAACAGGAAAGATTCAGTTGAGATAGAGATGAAAGGAAGATGCAGAAAACAGAACTGCCTGAGTCCTTGAGTCTCCCACTAACTTGGTCACCACCCGTTTCCCAGCCAACAGGTCCAAAATGAAGACTTCTTAGCAGTCTCTTTCCCCTACATCCATATTCAAAGTGTTAGCAAGTCCACTGGCTCTATTTCTATCACCTCCACTGTTGCCGTAATTTGCAGCAGCTTCTCACCATGTCTCATGTCAAACCAACGGTCTCCTGACTAGATCCTCCTTCTACTCTGCCCTCCAGCTGACTCTCCACACTACACTGAGTGATCTTTTAGTAATAAATCAACATTGGGGTGATGAAAATAATTCAAACATTGATTGTGGTGATGTTTGCACAATTGCACATACTAAAACCACTGAAGTGTACACTCTGAATGGATATATAAATTACATCTCAACATTTCTTTTTGGGAAATAAGTCAAGGGTCCTGACTAGTAATTCTAAGACTGCTATACAAGCTACTAGGACTGACCAAGTGGGCAAATGTATGACAGGTGTCAGGTTCTCACCATTGAAGAGGGAAGTTACACATAACAGAGGGACAACAGCCAGAGGGAACAATTGATACCAGACTAGAGCCAGACATTTCTCTTAACTCATGTAAAGCTTGATGCAGACACAGATGGACAGATAATGTTGGACGAGATAATGATCTCTAATGTCATTAGCCAATAAAAGGAACCAGGGTTGCATAGAGAAAGGTCTCATTCTGGGCGAGGGCAAGGAAAATATGAGAGCCCAAAGCATGCTGCACTGACAGAAAAGTAAGAAAGGCCTAAAAATAGAAAAAAGTATATAGCAGAAAATGACACATCAAAGAGCTTCAGGATCCAACCTGAGAGATGGCCAAAACTGAAACAATTTGAGCAACAAATAAACAATATGGAATTACATTATGGTCCAGAGCAGAAAATAAATGTCTGTGAGTCTTAATTGATTATGTAAATGACTGGTAAATAAGAGGAATGGGGGATAGAGTACTTCCTTCTCTAGGGATAGTGCATAATCTCCTCCACATTGCTTTGAATGGTAACTGTATTTACTAAATCACTTCCAAAGAACAGAGTAGTGAAAGCATGAAGAAATATGGTGGACATTATCCTGCATAAGTGAACAAAGCTACTATCACCAATAGCAAGTCATACTGACAGCATGGACTCCTAGAATGTGAGAAGTCACCTCACCTCCACATTACTCTTCCCCCAAAGCCATAACCCAGATAACATAGCACATTACCATGAGAAAGTTGTGAAGGATAGCCAGTGACATGTTTTATGACCTCAAAACTGTCAAGGTCACAAAAAGAAAAGGACTAAGAAATTGTCCCTTCCTCTCTCTCTCTCCCTTCTTTCTTTCCTTCCTTTTTTATGCTGCTTTGAGGCTTGAACTCAGGACCTTACATTCTTGATTACTTTTCTCATTCAAGGATGTCACTTTACCACTTGATCTACACCTCCACATCTCTGGCTGGCACTTTACCACTTGATCCACACCTCTGGATCTTTTTGCTGACTAGTTGGAGATAAAAGTCTATCAAATTTGGGGCTGGGAAGGTGGCTCAGTGGAAGAGCACTTGCCTTGCATGCATGAGGCCCTGGGTTCGATTCCTCAGCCCCACATAAGCAAAAAAAAAAAAAAAAAGAAAAAGGCCGGAAGTGGCACTGTGGCTCAAGTGGTAGAGTGCTAGCCTTCAGCTGAAGAGCTGAGGGACAGCGCCCAGGCCCAGAGTTCAGGCCCCACGACCGGACCCCCCCCCCAAAAAAAAAGCCTTTCAAATTTGTCTGCCTCGGTTGGCTTCAAACCTTGATCCTCAGATCTCAACTTCCTGAATAGTTTGGATTACAAGTGTGAGCCACCAATACCTGGTTTCAATGTTGGTATTTCAGTTATGACTTGTATCAAGTCAAATGTAAGATGTTATTATTAGAGGAAACAGAGATACGAGTATATAGTGACTTGCTGTACTATTTGTGTGTACACAACCTACTCAATTAAGAATAGTAACATATGTGCATATTTGTGTGTATATATATATATATATATATATATATATGTATATGTATATATGTATACACACACAGAGGCTTTCTTGAGACATGGTCGTATCATATAGCCTAGGCTGGCCCTCAAACTCCTGGTCCTCCTGCCTCTACTTCTAGAAGCCTGAAATCCTGAGATTATAGGCATAAACCAACATA